CATCCCCAGTTTTTCATTTGCTGATTCTATTCTGAAAAATTCGACCGTCCGAAAATGCACCTTAATTTTGACTCTAAAAACACGTCACATTTCTAACACCAATTATTTAAAACCGGTCGAAATTTTGGAGTTTTTACGGTACTTTAGATATCAGTGTGAAAGCTTAAAATTGGTTAATTATGCAAATTAGGTAATTAATATGTACAGATTATTCAGGTCTGTCTATTGTCCTACAGCATCCATGTCCATGAAACCAAGTTTCATCAAAATCCAATGAGTGGTTGTTTAGATATCAGTGGAACAGTCATGGAACCACTAAAAAATAGCTAATTATCATGCAAATTAGGTAATTAATATGCATGTATTTTTACCAAAAACTAATCAAATCTGCGCATATGTTCAGAGCATCTATGTACCAAGTTTCATCAAAATCCAATGAGTGGTTCTTTAGATATCAGTGGAACAGTCATAGAACAGCTAAAAATTAGCTAATTATCATGCAAATTAGGTAATTAACGAGCATGGATTTTTACCAAAACCTAATCAAATCTGCGCATTGGCCCAGAGCATCTATGCACCAAGTTTCATCAAAAACCGATGTATGGTTCTTGAGATAGCAGTGGAACAGTCGGACACACATACACACACACATACACACATACACACATACACACATACACACATACAGACACACTAACTGCAAAGACTCCCATTTTGTGCTTCGCACATGGGAGTCAAAAACTAATGAAGCACACTGTCTATCATCCCCATTTTTTCATTTGCTGATTTCTATTCTGAAAAATTCGACCGTCCGAAAATGCACCTTAATTTTGACTCTAAAAACACGTCACATTTCTAACACCAATTATTTAAAACCGGTCGAAATTTCGGAGTTTTTACGGTACTTTAGATATCAGTGTGAAAGCTTAAAATTGGTTAATTATGCAAATTAGGTAATTAATATGTACAGATTTTAACCCACAATTATTCAGGTCTGTCTATTGTACATTCATTGATATGTGATGTATAGTACCTGAGATATCAGTGTGAAAGTTGGTTAATTATGCAAATTAGGTGATTAATATGCACAAATATTTACCGGAAACTAATTGGGTCTGCATAATTCTAGATTCATTGAAATGTGATGATTAGTACTTTAGATATCAGTAGAAAAGCTGAAAATTAATTATGCAAATTAGGTAATTAATATGCACAATTATTTACCCTAAAACTAATCAGGTCTCTGCATAGTCCTAAAGGATCTATGTACCAAGTTTCATTGAAATGCGATGATTAGTACTTGAGATACCCGTGGAAAAGCTGAAAATTAACTAATTATGCAAATTAGGTGATTAATATGCACAAATATTTATCGAAAACAATCAATCTCTGCATAGTCCTTGAGTATGTAAGTACCAAGTTTCATTGAAATGTAATGCTAACTACTTATATCAAATGCTGAAAATTAATTAATTATGCAAATTAGGTAATTAATATGTACTGATATTACCATAAAAACTATCAGGTCTGTGCAGTGTCGTATGACATCTATGTACCAAGTTTCATTGAAATGTGATGATTAGTACTTGAGATATCAGTGGAAAAACCGAAAATTGACTAATCATTATGCAAATTATGTAATTAGTATCCACGGATTATTACCAAAAACTAATCAAGACCTAGCATTAGTTCAGAGCATCT